GATTACAGGTGTACACCGCCATGCCTGGCTACCTTTATCTTAAATGGTCTCTCTAGATATGTTGTTTGGGCAGACCTCCAACTTTTGATCCTGCCTCAGCTTCCTAATATATAATAATTTTTTAAAAAAGCAACTTATTTTCAAGAAAAAATCCATTTCAGCTATAATATCTCTAGGAGAAAGTGAAGGATTTAGGAAATCAGATGAACAAGACTGGATGGGAAGAAATCAGGGCAATGGTTGAAATTCTGCTTCCAAAGAGATCAAAGATTACTGCATAAAAGCCAAAACAGACTGTTTTGTTTTAAAACATATACTTGATACCGTGTTCAAAGACTGCCCTGGCTGCCGCCCAGCGCTGGCAGTGAGCACAACCAGCCTCGGGGAGGGCTGTCCTCCGGAGACTCTGGAACACAGGTGTGACAGCCCGCAGAGGGGCCGGAGTAGGTGAGCTACACGCCCGGGGAGACCCTCAGCTGAGGCACTGACTGGGGAAACTCCCCCAGCGGCCGTCTCCTCGGCAGAGCTGCATCGTTTCCCCTTTCCAGCACTCAGGATTATTTACAGTCAAACTGTTCAACCAATAAAAAGACTCAGTTGCCAGGAAACTGTCCATGGGTCCAGCTCGTTAGTCTGACAGCAACTACATCTACCAACACCAGCGCACCAGAACTTGTCCCTCAGCCAAGCCCAGCTGATGCTGTGGCTCGTTCCCCACACGGCTTCTCCTGTCCTGGCCTCCCTGGTCCTGTCAGAATGGCTTCCACGCTGAATTCTGTTCGCCCTTATTCCTTATCCACTATCTGCTTTCCAAAGATGTTCTGGGGGGCTGGGGATTTAGCTCAGCGGCACAGCGCCTGCCTGGCAAGCGCGAGGTCGTGAGTTCGATTCCCGGTACCGGAAAAAAAGAAAACAGAAAAAAGATGTTCTGGGGCTTGAAGGGGAATCTTAGTCATAAGGGAAAGGACATGAACTAAATTTTGCTTTCAGGATTAGGAACTTAAAAGTTGTCACGATAAGGAGGGAAAGAGAGGTTGAAGAGGAGAAGGAGAGGAGAAAAAAAGAAGATTCAACACTTACCATGTACAGGCACAAATTCCCTGTGATGGATGTTATCATTATGTATATCTTAAATGTACCAATAAAATTGATTTTTAAAATGAATAATACAATTGAAAAAAGTTTTCAGGAAGGGTCCTCTGGCTCCCCTAAAGATTCTAAACTATTTCTGCAAATGCAACATCACCATTATCTAGAAGTTTGTTCAAAATGCACATTCCTAGCTGGGTATGGTGGCACACAGCTGTAATTCCAGCTACTAGGGAGCTGGGGCAGGAGGATCACAAGTTCGAAGCCAGGTTGAACAACTTAGTGAGATCCTATCTCAAAATAAAAAGTGCTGGGGATACAGCTTAGTGGCAAAGTGCTTGACTAGCCTGTGCAAGGCCCGGGGTTCAGTTCCTAGCACTGAAAAAAAATAAATTCCTGTACCTCAAAACAGACCTACTGAATCTGAGTCTATTGGGACACCTGTTAGTCTAGCAATCTGTTTTAACAAGCTCTCTGGCTGATTTTTTTTTTTTTTCCCTTTTTTGTTTTTGGTCTTTTTGAGACAGGGTCTCGCTATGCAGTTCAGGCTGGCCTTGGGCTCACTTTGTAGCCCAGGATGGTCTTGAACTCACAACGATCCTCCTGCCTCAGCCTCCTGAGTGCTGAGATTACAGGCGTGCGCTACCACCTCTCCAGCCGATTCTGATGCTTGCTAGCGTACAAAAGCACTGAGCTGCCATGTCTTGTTATTAAACAACAAACATGCAGGGAAATAGAGTCCAAAACCTTAATACTTTAAACCACTTCTCCCAAAAGGAACCAATTCTCCTTTTGTGCAGATGACAAAGGGACCCCACAACATGAGAGAACTGAGAGAACAAGCTGTATGCCCAGTTGGATCTCTTGAGGACAGATGGGGAAGCAGGAGTTCAGCTAGTGACAGCTTCGGGGTCTGTTTTGCTCAAAACTGCCTTGGGAAATCAGCCCTAACCCCTGGAAGACCAGGCCAACTCAAGGATCTTCTATGGCAAACATTCTGTATAAAGATCCAATATTTTCTGTAAATATAAGGCAGATGGTTTGTCACAACTTTTTAACTTTGCAAAAGTAGCCACAGGCTCCAAGTCCTTTGAGGAACAGTTAGCTAAAATGTTTTCCCACTCTGTGGGTTGTCTGCATTCTATTGGTGATTTATTTTAAAGCACAAAAGCTTTTTAATAGGATGAGATCCCAGTTGTTGATTCCCGTGCAGTTTGGGTTTTGTTCAATGTATGTGCATTCACGTTTATAATAGCACAATTTGTCATAGCAAAATCTTGGAAACAACCCAAATGCCCATCAACTGATGAATGGATAAGAAAAATGTGGTATTTTCATACAATGGAATATTACTCAGCTATAAAGAAAGATGAACTTGAGGCTTTTATAGTAAATGGATGCAACTAGAGACCATACTCATAAGTGAAATAAATCAGAACCATATGTGTAATTCTGTATTGTCTCCCTAGTGTAAGAACCTGAAAGAGTAAATAAAACTGAAAGGTAAGATAGTAGATACTGTGAAAGGGAAAGAAACTGCTTAATAGGAAAGAACAACTGGGATGAGGGATATATATAAATATACACACACACAAGATAGCTAGGATAATTGTACTGCTAATTTCTATTGGTTTATTGAAAGGAACAGTTCATGTTTAATTGTTTGATCAGTCTTGCATACCTGTATCTGGTAATGTGAGCGACCACTTTGAAGAGAACAGTAAGTAATACAACAACCACTGTTGATTTCCTGTCATCTTGTTTTGAAATTCTGTATCATTTTTATAGTTTTTGTGTTGTTTTGTTTTTGTCTTTTTTTGTTATTTTGGCTTTCTTTTCTCTTTCAAATAAAAAAAATACCATTTTGCAAATACTTTGAGAAAAAAAAAACAGTAGCCATGGGTAGTAAGTAAACCAATAGTTTGAGTTCCAATGAAATTTTACTTAACAAATGGAAGAAGCAGGCTAGTTGTGGCCACGACCCAGTTCGCTGACCCTTATCCCAGCTAGGGAGGCAGGGACTTCCTTGTAGCTCTCATCTGATGTGGGAAGCTTGGAGCCAGTCTACGCACATCCAAATCAACACACACCATCCTACTCCAGGACAAACTGGCTTTCAAGGAGTAGGCTGAAGGACATCCACAGCTGGGCGTGGTGACACACGGGAGCCTGAGGCAGGAGGAACTCAAGCTTAAGGCCAGCCTGGGCTATACAGTGAGTTCAAGGCCAGCCTGAACTACATAGCAAGAGCCTGTCTCAAAAACAAAAACAAAAACAAGAAGTACATCTACATTCTCTTCCCTCAGTAGAGCCTGACCCAGAGAACAAGGACCACTGCTATGGCTTGTGTCTAGATGGCCCCCAAAAGCCTCATGAGGTCATAGGTGGGGCTTTTCGGAAGTGGTTGGATTTTTAGTGTGTGCTGCTGGGATCAAGGGTGTGTGATTACTAAATTAGTCCATTGACTGGTTTGGCATAGTTCTGGGTAGGATTAAGGGTGCTCCACCCTGCATGTGAGTGCTATCAAGCTGGATAAAATATAAAGTATAGAAAGAGAGTCACTTATTATTTGCTGCTTTCTACTTGGGTGCTTTGCTGCCTTCTGCCTGCCCTGAACTGTTTATCCTCTGCAATGCCCCTCTACCATGGCACCCTGCCTTGAAGCCAGCCAACTATGACCTGAAACCTCTACAAACTGTGAGCCAAATAAATCTTCCCTTCTTCAACTTTGGGTGTCGGGTATTTTGTCTCAGCAAGGAGAAGAGTAACTAAGACAAACAGATGGGAAAGCACAAACCCGCAGGCTGGAGTGAATTCAGCTAGGCAAAAGAACTGGGTTGAGTTCAGCAGCAGAAAGCCTTGTCACTCAGGGTTATCAGCCAATGTTCACTCAAAGGCTTTGAAATTTATAAACTCCGTACTTGTAAGCTTTTTAGCACTATAACAAAAATAGCTATCAATGGTTTACATATGAAGAAAAGAGGATTTTCAGCTCAGTTTTGAAGGGTTAGGGGCACGGCAGTGGCATCAGCTCAGTTTTGGTGAGGGATGGTACACACTTGGAAGATCTTACACAGCCAAACAGGAAGTCAGAGAGACTAGGGTCCCACAGTCCCTTCTGAGGGCACACCCCAGTGACCTAAGGACCTCCCACTCGGCCCCAGCTCTTAAAGGGCCCATCACCTCTGAATATCACCAACCTGGCGAGCAAGTTTGTAACACAGGAGCCTTTAAGGAGACACAAACCATACTCTCACAACACCACAGTCTGGTGTGAAACTACTTTATCATTACTTCAAAATAAAAGACAAACATTTTAAAGATACACAGATTTAGTTAGATACTTTAAAAAAAAAAAATCCCGCCATACTAGGGATTGAACCCAGGGCCTTATACTAAAGTGCCTTATCATTAGCTACATCCTCAGTCCTTCTTATTTTGAGACAGAGTCTCAATAAGTCTCCCAGCTGGTCTAGAACTTGCGCTCCTCCTACCTCAGCTTCTGAGTACGTAGTATTATAAGGGGCACCACTGAGACCAACTCCCGATACATTTCTTGCCTAACAAAAGTGGAGTACACTGAGCTAGGGATGTAGCTCAGTGGTAGAGTGGTTGCCTAGCACGTACAAGATTCTGGGTTCAGCCCCCAGCACCATAAAAAAAAAGATGGGGGCAGAATATCCTCATCACAGGAAAAAGACACATTTGGGGAGGCTGAGTCAAGAGGATCTTGAGTTCATGGCCAGCCTAGACTACAAAGTAAGACCGTGCCCTAAAAATAATAAAAATAAAAAAATAAAAAACAAAACCTTAATATTTTAAATTCCCTGTGCTAATTCCACTGCATGTGACGCTCCTCCTTTGATTTCACCAAAACAACAAAGAATTAAAATACACACACAACACTCAAGTACCTGCGAAGTCCTGTAATACCATGGCTTGCATTCATAACATTGGATGAAGAAACAAAGAAATGAAGTCCATTTTAATCAGTGTGCCCACAGTTCGCGGCCTCTCCTTGGGAAGCTGCAAGGTGTCCTTGAATAAGATCCTGAACACGGGACAGAATAATCTCGTTAGAGCTGCTGCAATTCTCTGGACAGTATGGTGGGTCTATAGTCAAGACCCCAGCCACACACAGAGTCCTCTGTGACTCTCCTTGTTCAGCGATGGGGATGTGGTTCTTCTCAAGCCACTTCTTCAGGCTGTTCTTTCTCTTTTCCAGGTCCTCGGGGCTGTAGGCCTCACAGTCTCCAGACGTGAACAAGCGCGCCAGCTTCTCTCTCACTCTGTGGTCCTCACCCACAATCTCAACAGTCTGCACAGAATGTCCCATAATTCCAGTCACGGACAAGCCGCCATCTTCAAGGAAGTTCACAAGGACAATACTTGGAAGGAAAAAGAAGTTCAGAGTAGATTTGCAAAAGAAAAGCCTGAAGGCCCGCACGACTAATGAAATAACTGGGCTAGAGGCATCATAAACCCAAACAAGTCACAAGAGTACGAGGGAACAATTTTACCCGTCTGAAATTACTCTTCTCACCACCAAATGCTTACACAACATGTATTCACTGAAAAGCCTAAACTATTTGCCCAGCTTAAAATTAACCATTATGGGATATAGGTAATATATTAAAGAGTTAATGGGGTTGAGGGTGTTTGTGTGTTCGGTAGCATAGCTCATGCTTAGTATGTGTAAGGCCTTGAGTTTGAGCCTCAGTATGGAGGAAAAAAGTTATGAATGCCTTAAACATGTATAAGATAGGGTATATATTTAACTTGTAGAATCAAAAAAATAGTAAGTGAATATAGTTAAAAAAAAAAAAGGCAAAAGATTTATGTAATCTAAAGAGAAACCAGAGTATATCTGAATATATTAAAGTAGGCCAGGCATAGTGGCACACACCTGTAATCCCAGCACTTGGGAGGCTGAGGCAGGAGGCACACCATGAGTTAGAGGCCAGCCTGGGCTCCACAGTAAGTTCAAGGCCATCCTGAACTGCCTAGTGAGACCTTGTCACAAAAAAGAAAAAAAAGAAAGAAAAGAAAGAAATAGGCAGCAAAAGCTAGCAGAAAATAGTAAGAACAAATTTATGCCAGTAATTTTTAAACTTAAAAAACTTTCTAGAAAATAAACTATTGATGCAAAAAAGAATGTGACTAGGTCTATACTCTTTTTTTAAAAGAAAATGAATAATTTAAAATCTTCCCATAGAAGGTGAGGGGAAAAAAGCCACACAATTTTATTGATAAGGTCTATCAAATTTTCCAGGATCAAACATTTCTCACTGAACCAAATTCTACTAGAAGCTATAACAGGGGATCCATACCTCATTTAATGAGGCTAATATACTCTTGATGCCAAAAAGGAAAAATAAGTTTGGAGCAGATTTGCAAAAGAAAACTACGAAAAGAATCATTCAAATTGAGAGACATTCCACAAAATACCTCACTAGTACTTTTGAAAACTAACAAGGTCATGATAATAAGGAAAGACTGAAAAGATCAGAGGAGACTAAGGAAACATGGCAGCTAAATGTAACCTGAAATCCTGGATTGGCTCCTAAACAGAAAAAAGCCATTGGCAGAAAGAGCAGTAAAATCTGGATAACCTCTGTAGTTTACCTAATGTAAATTCTTAGTTTTAGTAAATGTACCCTGAGTATATGAGAGATTAACATTAGGGGAAGATGAGTAAAGAGTATATGAAATTTCTGCAATCTCTTGGTAACTTTTCTATAAATCTAAAATCAGTCCAAAATGAAGTGTGTGTATATGTGTGCCTCAACCTTAAAGGCAGCCTTGCCAGGAGTGGTGGGGCACACTTGTAATCCCAGCGCTCTGGGAGGCTAAGGCAGTCAGATTGCAAATCTGAGCCCAGTCTGGCAATTTAGTGACTCAGTGTGACCCCGTCTCAAAATAAAAATTTTCTGAAAAGGGGCTGGGTATGCAGCTCAGCCCAAAGGCCCTGGGCACAATCCTCACCAATAAATAAGAAAAGAAAGAAAGAAGTCTTGCAAAACATAAATCTGATCCCAATCAAACCTCTAGATCTGAATACAAATTTATAGGAAACATGGGGGATAAAAGAACAAGTTAAACTACACCATGATAATGCAACAAGCTAAATCCAGAATGTTTGATTCTGTAAGACAAATGACCTACATTCTTAAAACTAAATGACACAGAAAACAAAATGAGTGTAGTCATACATTAAGACACTTAAAGAGACAAATAGACCAACCTGAATGAATCAATATAACAGGGAACTTTTGGGAGGAGGGGTTTGAGAAAGGATCTTACTACATACTATAGACTGATCTGGAACTCACTATGTAACCCAGACTGGCCTCAAACTTGCAGCAATCCTCCTGCCTCAGCCTCCCAAGCGCTGGGGTTAGAGGTATACACCACCATGTCTGGCCTAAAAGGGAACTTTTGAGGCAATAGAGAAAACTTAAACAGACTAGAAATTAGTTAATATGAAGTTTATTACTTTTGTTAGGTGTTATAAGGTGCTATTATTTTGTTAGGTGTATAAATGGTGGTTACATGCGTTAAAATCCTTATCTTTCAAGAGATATGTTGAAGTATTTGTGAATGCAATTGTAAAATGCCTGAACTGGGTTTAAAATACTTGGTGGCGGGTAGTGTCCGTTATAGGACTCTCTTTACCTCTGTGTATGTTTGAAATTTTCCATTAAAAATACAAGAGGAAGGGGTGGGGATTTAGCTCAGTGGCAAAGCACCTGCCTGGCAAGCGCAAGATCGCGAGTTCGATTCCTGGTACCAGAAGACAAAAAAAAAAAAAAAAAAACAAGAGGAGCTGGGCGTGGTGGCACATGCCTTTAATCCCACTACTTGGGATGGTGAGTCGGAGGCAAACCTGGGCTACACAGCGCATTTAGGACCAGCCTGGGTTATAAAGCAAGACCCTGTCTCAAAAAAAATAACACAGAGAATTTCTAAGTCTCGTTCCTATGAATTTGGCTCATCTGACAGTGTAACCCATATTCAGAAAGGCAATCAGCTTCAAAGGTAGTTAAGTTCTTACGCGAGATAAGCTCGCCTTTCACTGATCTGCTTTGTTCATTCGATTATAACATACCGGCAGCACAAAGGCACGTCATGATTTCAGGGAAGCAGGACGCATACTCACTTGGCAGAGACCGGGTCTGTGGTTAAAAGCCATCCTTTGTACTCCTTCTTCTCACTCGCTAGTACTCTGACTTCTTTATAAACGTAATCTTCCCATTCTAACGGGCTCTTCTTAGTCCATTCACTCATGGTCACCAGGTGGCTAAATCTAAAACCACCATGTTTGGGTTAATATATATGTTTCACACAAGCAGATGTCTCACCTGTAAACGCCATACTAGAAGCCGAGAACAGTGATTTGCCTCAAATTCTTAATACATTACTTAATACAATTAAGTATTCATATATTGACCTAGGCCTGATGACAAATGCCAGTAGTGCCAGCTACTCAGGAGATTGAGGCAGAAAAAATCATTTTAGCTCACCAGTTCGAAAAACTGGGCAGAGTAAGTAAAGACTCTGTCTCAAAAGCAAAAGAAAATGAGCGAGGCATGGTAGCGCGAACCTGTAATCCCAGCACTCAGGAGGCTGATGCAGGAGGATTGCCACCAGTTCAAGGCCAGCCTGGACTATAGTGAGTCTAAGGCCAGGGAGACCCCGTTTCCACAAACAAGCAAAAAAAGAAACACACACACACACACACACACACACAGGAACAAAAATGAGTATTAATATATGGAGTGGAGCTGGGGATGCAGCTCAGTGGCGCAGCGCCTGCCTGGCAAGCGTGAGGTCCTGAGTTCGATTCCCGGTTTTTTAAAAAATGCACAAGGAATTGATACTGTAATTACTTGAGAGCGTTTAATTGTATCAGGGCAAGGATAATACCTGTATTTATAGTTCAGTCTGAAAGCTGCGGGGACACGGGCTGGCTGAGGGCGCAGCGTGGGCAAACTGGAAGCTTCTACCCCACCTTCCCATCCCGGAATTCAGGCCGCTTTCGCTCTGCCTAGGAATCCTGGTCTGCACAAGGATGGTCACACCCCTCAGTCTAGCTTTCCTGCGATCGGTGTTCACCCCACACCCCTGCTACCCAAAACTGAAGCGGAGAACTGTGACATCCACCCATTCGCTCCAGCTAGGTGTCTCCACGAGCCAGGGCTCCGATTTGTGACAATTTCTCGTCAAGTCTGGAGGTTGTGCAAAGGGGCTGCAGCTAAAGCTCTGGAGCTGTGATCTGCGGCTGCACAATACTTAACAGCTGTACTCAAACCAAGTGCTACTTAACGTTTAATCCCGACAAGCACAGAAGAAAGCAAGTACTCAGCTGGTACTCTTGGCGTCACTTGGTACTCAGCAACCACGCTGCTAGGAAGGAGCCTCGGTCCGGGCCGCCGGGACCAGCATGCTTCGCGGCGCGTGCGTCACTTCCGTCCCCCACAAGCCTCTGTTTTGTAGTCCTCACCTCGGTTAATCCCTTGGAGTGTGAAAGTCGCGGGCCCTTAGTTGCAGGGCTGAGATGTTTGCGTACTAGAAACCCTCTAAATTCGGTAATGCCGGGCCTCTCCATTGCCACGGTGGACATCTCAAATAGTCTAGTTTGTTTGTTTGTTTGTTTTGTAAGGAAGAGGCTCATATCAGGTGATAATCCTGAAAAAGTGTACAAGGTGGTACATTTTGCGTTTTGTTTTTCTTTTTGCATTTTGCTCTTTGCTTTTTGCTTTTTGAGACGAGGTTTCACTATGCAGTTCAGGCTGGCCTTAAACTCACTTTGTAGCCCAGCCTGGCCTCAAACTTGCAGCAATCATCCTCCCTATGCCTCAGGAGTAGGCTTGAGAAGGCGCTGCTGCTATGGAGTCAAAGAATTTAACCCCCTAGATAGATCCTGAAGCTCTAAAAGTGTGAAATGAACGTGCTGTGGGGAAGAGCCCCGGGGCTAAGGTCTTTCCTGTTTGGCTTGTATAGAGCAGTTAAAATACATGCTTCTCTGGGTGGGCCCTCCCTACGTGGAGCTGGAGGTGCAGAAGCTGGGAAGAAATACGCTGGGTTGTGTTGGATTCTACCACACAGATCACTCACTGCAAACCCCTAGAGCAAAGCACTTCCTTCTGCTACGGACTCCTGGTCATGTATTTAGTTAGCGTCTGGTTTACTACAGAATAGTATTTTTCAAGACTATAATCCTGAAAAACTGTGCAAGGTGGCACAGGTTTTTGTCTTTGTTTTTGTATTTTGCTTTTTGCTTTTTGAGACAAGGTTTCGCTATGCAGTTCAGGCTGGCCTTGAACTCACTTTGTAGCCCAAGCTGGCTCAAATTCGCAGCAACCGTCCTCCCTACGCCTCAGGAGTGCAGGCATGCGCCACCACCCCGAGCAAGGTGGTAAAGTTTGAATTCCTCCTGCACAGGTGAAAACAAAGGGAAAGTTATAAGAACAGAAGAATTAGAAGACTGTGGAACCAAGGTAAACAACATCAAAAATCAATCTACTTTTCTATTACTGCTTGGAATGGAGTAAAGGTTTCTCATTGACGTCAATAATCCCCCCTAAAACCTTCCTTCATTCTGAATGAGTTGCCTGATTATATTAATGTGGCTTTAGTGGATTAGATTTTGCCAGTTAAAGCTCTCTGGAAACCTACAAAGAGGTAATGTAAATTCCAATTGTTATTATACTGGGGAGGAAAATTACTTCAAAGATTCAGTCCAAGAGAACTACAAACAATTTGTGACAAGTCTTCATTTGTATTTTAAACTTCTTTGAGACAGAGTCTTGCTTTGTAATCCAGGCTGCCTTGAACTCACTATGTTGCCCAGGCTTAGTTAGAACTCAGAAGGATCCTCCTGCCTCAGCCTCTCAAGTGGTGAGATTACAGGCATGCACCACCACACGTGAATTTAAGCATCATTCTATACTGAAAAGTGAAAGACTTCAGCCTTTGTCTTCTGTATTTGTAATTCTGTAAGTAGAAGCTAACCTCCAATGCTGCTCACTCCGGTAGGTGTCCCTCCTTTCCTATTCTCTGCTGCCCTCTCTCCCCCCTCCACCTTCTCTTCCCTCTGTCCATTTCCTTTCAGGCATATAACTCTGCTCAATCTTCCCTACACATCTTTAACCCTTTCATTTGCCTAGTTAAAAATTGCTCGTTTTAGATTTTTCAGGTACATTCAGTTTCATTTGGGCAAGAAATATTTATTTTCAAAGGGATTTTTATCCCTTTTCACATCAGTTTCCTTACAAAAGCTAGAAGATAACATTAGAAATAAATTCCTATATGAACTGCAATGAAAATACCAATAAAACACTACTACAAAAATAAGCTCTGCTTCAACTGTTAAAACCCAAGGCGATTATCACACATAACAACTGCATGTTCCGTGTACACATCTTGCTTACCCTGACAGCTTGTGTGCTTTCCTATGTGGTGGTCTTGTCACCTCTCTTCCTGTTTTTTCAGGAGTTTCTTATTATATGGTACAACATACACTTAGCAGGAGAATAGGCTGTCCATGAATTAAAATATCAAATCTGTAATGAGTGCTTAAAATAGACATCAACACTTTCACATAAGCTGTTTACTTGCTCACAAAACCTAAAACGTAACATCAGAAATAAAAACCTATGTGAACCATACTGTAAACACAAACAAAAGTCTACCACACAAATAAGCTTGGCTTCAACTCACACCCAAGGCAATCTTCACACATGACAATTGCATGTTCCGTGCACAAGTATTGCTTACACTCGTAGCACATATGTTTTGTTTCCTGTACTTACTTACAGGGCACAGTTGACATCTTTTTCGTTATCTGCTGTCGTGGTAGGTCTTTGCGATGCTATGCTGCCTGTTCACCTGTCAGCTCACCAATATGCTGCACAATTTTTTTTGCATAGTTCCCTGGGCAGAAACATTTTGTTTTTCCTCTGCTGTAAATGATCTCTTATGAGCTCCAGTCCCAATCCTCTAAGAAAATTTCTCCATGATATTTTGCACTTGTTATTTATTTATTTTTTTTTTTTGTAAACTATCAAACTACTTATGCCACATGTGTTTAGGATCAAGTAAAACACAACCATTGACCAATGCTTTGCGTCTCAAGTGACGTCATAGTTGCTGCATAACTTATCAACAATATCTACTCCACCTTTGGTTTTGTTGTTGAAAGTTTCCATCTCAAGCTTGTTTTGCTGAGGTTTCCCTATCAGTATTTCCATCACTGTGAAATGTTGCCATTAGCAGTACCCATTTGTTTTTCTCTGCCATATACAAGGCCAATGTTATATCTTGCTGAAATCCAAAGATTTACTATATAATTCTCCTGTTTTAAAATTGCAACCTTTCATTTGGAATTTCTGCTTTGTTCTTGTGTACAGTTCCTGCCCTTGTCAACTTGTGCTCTGTAAGCAACTGTGACATAAGTTGGAAACTGGTAAACCAGCTGTCCAGTGTCACATTCCGATCAGTGTGGGAAATGGGAGCAACAAGTCTGTTCATATCATTCCATTTATTACTGTATGAATGACTTGATGGCCGAGTTCCAGGAGAAATGTCCAAATTGAAAGCATAGTGTTTACATTTACAAGGGCATAAATTTTTATGCCATATTTTGACCCATATTGCTTTTCCGTAAGTCTTACATCCCTGCAATCACCATGAGAAATCTGTTGTAAATACAGATCTATGAATGCTTTCAGTTCAGTGAGGTGAGATGTCATAATAAATACATTTTTGAATATTGGTATTGGTGCGTACAGAACATTTTACCTGCATTTCAGCCTTTGTGTATTTCACAGCATCGTGTACCATTTTATCTGTTACAGTTTCCAATACTGAATGGCAGTTCTGGCATTCTGTTCAATACATTTCACTCCTGCCAAGACCTTCTCTATATTTTTGGACCTAGTTCTAACATTGGACCATTCCATTTGGTTGCATGGCCATTTTGCAACATTTCAACTAGTCAAATATGTACTCGCATTGCTATTTTCTTTGTCATCTGAATCAAGAAGGTCTGCATTCCCTGAGTCTGTATCAGTCAGTTCTTGCTCCATTTCACTGTCACAGGAACTTTGGTTCACATGGCCAGTGTCAAAGTTTTCATCATCATCTTCATCGTTGTCATCATCCACCCATACCACTCATCTGTTATGAAGGCATGTATTTATCATAATGGATAATCATCATCCATGCATGAATAATCTGATGATTCACTGTTGACCTCCTCCTAAACTTGCAAATCTGGGGCTGGGGATAGAGCTCAGTGGCACAGCACATGCCTGGCAAGCACAAGGTCCTGAGTTCCACTCCCAGTACCAAAAAGAAAAAAAAAGTTAATCAAAACTTGCAAATCTACCAAAAAAAAAAATCCTGGATTGATGTGGGTCTACTGGACCCTCTGTGATGCTAGGATAAACATACACAAAAGCAGTTAGAGGAAGCATACAGGTGGGTCCAAATCCCATTTTGCTACTTTTGTACATGTGCACACTCCTTGCTATTTGTCACACCAAGTGGGTAAACACATAGATTGCTTCCTGTGTCCCTCAGGGAAAGGTACTGAGAAGATCAGCTGACTGCTATAATGCTAAAGTACAAATTCACAGTAGATAAGGAAGGAATGGGTCCTCTGGACCCAGGCTTATGCCTCGAGGGTTTAACTTTAAAATCAGAGGTTAGAAAGACCCAGTCTTCTTAAACCTATTTGCTCTTCTTTGCTGTAGTACAAAGAAAAAGCTGCCCTGCCCTGGCCAAACTATTACAAAATTCAGTTCAGAGTACTGAGTGTTAAAAGTAGGAACAAAATGGTGTGGAAGTAGTGGATAATTTATTAAGTGTGTTTCAGGCAAGGCATGATCATAAAAAAAAAAAAAATAACCTTGGTCATTTTGGACCAAGACTTTTAAAATAGTCTAACTTTTCCATTCATTACACCAGTAAAACTAGCTAGAAGTGTTTGTTTATTTCTACATTTATTCATCAGGTATGTATTGATTTAGTTTGTTTTTGTTTTTGTTCTTTTGTCTTTTTGAGACAGGGTCTTACTATTTAGTTCAGGCTGGCCTTGAGCTCACTTTGTAGTCCAGAGTGGCCTTGAACTCACAAGGATCCTCCTGCCTCAGCCTCCCGAGTGCTGGGATTATAGGCATGTGCCACCACGACTGGCTGATTTAGTTTTGTATGCTATACTTTCTGTTACAAACTAGGCTTCAAAAGCTAGTAAAATTGGCTGGGGATGTAGCTCAGTGATAGGCACTTGCCTGGCATCCACACAGGTCCTGGGTTCGGTCTCTGGCACTCAAAAAGAAATGGGGGGAGACAAAGCATTTAGTAATTTTGGTTTCAGTTTGGTTAAATTTGTAGTCTT